CATAAGAATAATTTGAGACTTCTCAAGGTTGAACTGTTTAATTAATATCGGTGTTGGTGCTGTTGTAGCAGTGCTACTGTTTTGTTTCAGAATCAGCAGGAGAAACACAAAAAAGAGTAGAAAGCAGTAAAGATGATGAAAAAGTTGAAGAACCAATGAGGAGAGGAAACTGGAAAAAGAGTGGTTCAAAGAAAAGTGTGAAATATCAATATAAAACGATTGATGAAGTGATTGCCGAAGGCGGATCACTCAAGCAACGGCTTAGCAGTGGAAGTAGTGGTGTTAAAGTATAGTTTACTTTTGATTTTTCAGAAATCAATTGTTGGTGAGAGCTTCAGTAAAGGCCTTTTCAGTTATACTGATGCATAACTCCACTACATAAGTTTCTTCGTAGGTCTCACATTTGCTTGCACTGTCTAGCCTTTAAAAGAATGAATTTTCAAAGTATTACTGATTTTGGAGTCTTCTCGAACTGTTATTAGTCTTGCCAACGACCGTTCTTAACTTTTGATTATGCATTTTATAATTTTTGACAGATTTATACAATATACCTTGTGCAGAACTGAGGCTGTAAAAGCAGCTGCGACTGCAAAAAAATTTCAACGCTTCGATGTGCTACTTGCTAAAGTATTAAGAAAGGGTTTAACATCTCAAACACTTTTCAAAATTTAGTAATACCGTTGCCATCATTTCATCATCTAAATAAAATTTCTTCGGTGGTTTAAATCCTTGTTTGCAGCTATTTTTTTAGGTTATCGACATGACGGGCAAGGAACAGAAAGTTTATTCCGGTTATGACGCTTATGCAGCTAAAACCAGGTATTGGCTAATGTTTGCTATAACTTTCATTGTTTTATGGAAAGAGAAATTTTTTTATGGAAAGAGAAATTTTTTCAGAGCAGTCGCAGAAACACAAGTGGAGCGTCTTGCATTCGATGTGCCAGAATTGATGCATAATTTAAATTTGTTAATCAATGAAACTGAAGAAACAATACGTCACAATGATCGGCAAATGCGCTTCCTAAGAGTACGAAGTATTGTTGATTTGTGGTTCGTCGTCGTAACTGAACCTCGCAGACTTCACTTTTTTATGTCTTTTATATTATCTGCCAACCCGTCACTTTGGGTTGAAACCTTCATTGTAGCACGCAGTAATTTGTACAAATAATAAGCAACCAGTGGATTTTAAGAACTAATAATTGACTTTTTATAGGATCAAACAGCAGCTCTCGAAAATGATAGTGTGCAAATACAGGCTGCTTTGTGGAAAGAACGCGAGGAACAAGAACGGGTGGAAGAACTAAGTGACTTATTGGAAAGGTTCGAATTGCTGTGATATATTTTGGCAGTCCTTTCTCAAAAATAGGCGGATGGCTTTTAAAAGTAAGGGAGGTGCACTGTATTGTCCTTCATCCTTCTTTTTCCTAATCCTTTATTTTAAACTAAATTTGTGATTGTGTCGATTATCTGTGATCATTTATAGGTTCTCTGCCAAAAGCAATGAAGGAAATATAACGCTCGATGAATGTCGAGAATTATTTCAGAAAATGCAGACAGAATACTTTGAGGAGTATCGTTTGTTCAGATTAGAAGAAATAGCTATTGCAAGCGTTTTACCACTAGTAATTTTTTTCATCATTAAAACGTTTTTCAAATTAAAATTTCTCAAATTATTACATTAAATGCTTTTAAAATTTCTTGAAATTTTGTTTAATTGAAAATTCAATGTTGTTATAGATTCAACATTATTTTCTAACGTGGAATGCTCTTGATGATGAACAAATGAACTATGGTATCGCGTTGATGAGTGAATGGAAAAAGATATTGGAAATAGAACAGCGTAATATATTCAATGTCACTAAAAGTTTAGGTATAGTTGCTTTATTCTGGAGTATATGTTAAAGGTGAAAGTAGTTGTATATTCGAAATGTGGTCACAGCATACAATAATACAATAGTTCCACATGTGATGACTTACACATTTGGGTTGCACTCTTTGGCTTTTAAATTTTTGCTAAACTCATTAGATTTTCACTTCTACATGTATTCATGAGACGAAGAGAAAAAAAGAATACATTTCCTTCCATTTGCACTCTCCTATCTCCGTTGAATTCTAGAAAACCTCTCAGCGTTTGAACGACTTCTTTGGGATGGATGGATGCCAGTGATGAGAAAAACTGCTTTACGGTGGAATCCACGGGACGATCCCCAATCGATGTTGCATGTTGTTGAAAAATGGCTACCTTTATTACCTTTATGGATGCGCGAGAATCTTCTAGAACAAGTTAGATTAATAAAGAAAGTAAAAAAGTCCGATTAAGATTTTATGCTCTGTTTTGGATCATCAGTTATAATGATTCGATAGCCTAACGACACGATCGTTACAGATTATAATTCCACGAATAGCTGCTCAAGTGGACGAATGGAATCCTCTAACAGATCGCATACCAATTCATACATGGTTACACCCATGGCTGGATGTAATGGGTGATCGACTTCAGCCGATTTTCTCCCCTATTAGGCAAAAACTGGCCAAAGCATTGAAAGAATGGAATCCAACGGATAGAAGGTTATTTGCTTTGTATTTAGAATTTTGAAACGTGCAATAATAAATTTTATTTCAAGTTAATAATTTTTTATTTCATGCATAAAGAAATACAGTTTGTTAAATTATTTGACGAACGTAATGATCCAAATTAATTGGCCACCATTTTAGTGCCTTGTCTATGCTCCGACCATGGAAAGGTTGTTTTGCATCGGCAACTATGTCTGCTTTTTTGGCAATGAACATCATACCCAAACTCGAGAAGGCTTTGCAAGAGATGACATACGACCCTACAAAAAATCATGTGCGTTGTAACTTGTGGCATCTTCCAGATTCTAGTTTTGTTAGTGGAGATTCTCCTTATTTATATTTCTTGATCTTCAGCAGTATGATGAATTCTATGCTGCGTTGGATTGGGTTGAATTGATTGGTGCGGAAAGTATTGCCGCTGTGTTGGTTCGTAGTTTCTTTCCAAAGGTAATTCTGATTTGTTAAATTAAGATTTTTTTTGATATATGTATATTCATTTAATCAGAAACCACCCTTTTCTATTGCAGAAATTAAAATTTTTTTCAGTGGTACGAAACGTTGTGTATTTGGTTGGAATCTCCACGAGTAGTACTTCAGGAGGTAGTAATGTGGTACAATGAATGGAAAAGTCGTTTTCCTATTGAAATTTCTTCATTGATTGTCATACAAGGTACAAATTTTATTACCCTAGAAATACTCTCATCTAATTTTCTCTGATAATATTTCAGAACAGCTAAAGCGTGCACTCATTGCAATGAAGCATGCCCAACAGGGCATTCATCTTACAAAGGAAATGCAGCCACCGTTACCACTTTCGGAGCCGGTCTCCGGCATGTACAATCCTACGCCACCGAGAATACAACCCCCACCTCCTCATCTCTCTTTTAAGGTTTGAACTTTACTTTTTCTTCCATCACGCGAATTCAATTTCCTGCAGTTTATCAATCTGTATGTGCATGTATTCCTTAAGTGCAACTAGTAATATTTGAAGACCGTGGCAGGTGTTATCATTTCTTTATGTATGACAGTCTTCAAAACATTTTCCCATATTTCAGAAGGAAATTCCTCTTTTACTACAGAAATGCGCGTGGAAGAAATAACGCTCTCTGACTGGGCGTTTTCATCTTATTTTAACTGGACAATTTTATTAATACTCGAACTTTTTTTTTCAGGATCTGGTGGAATTAAGAGCACGTGAAGCTGGGGTTCTGTATGTACCTCAGCTAAATAAGTTCCGAGAGGGGAAGCCTGTTTACTGGTTCGGTAATGTATCAATCTACATCGATCGAAACGTAATATTTGGTCTCAACGTTGAGACACAGCAATGGTCACCCATCGGACTAGATCATCTGCTTAGTATATGCTGATGCTGATTAATTTCTTCCCATATTTTTCGTGAAGGCTTCTGACTAACTGATTGCAATTGAAATGTCTTGAACGGAGGTTTGTTTTTCATTCCTCTCCAGTTTGAACCTATCGATCCTTGAACTTCATCTTCAAATATTACTTCGTACTTCTACATAAGTTATGTTTGCCTAATGTTCATTTGAAATTTGGATTGAAATATCTGACAAACCACATATATATGAAAATGAATGCGTTTACGAGTCAGAAAATTGAGAAATTATAGATTTCCTTAGTAATTTTTCTTTGCTGATTATATTGTTGAGTTTTGAGAACTGGATATGTGAAAATGGAGGCCATTGAAGAGAAAAATATGGAGAATATACTCGTAATATCCTCAGTCAGAAAAATTTGCTAAACAATGACTTATTTTTATCCCTTTTGACTCTGTCTTCCAAAATCAGAGGGAGATAGAATGGGTGGAACTTTCTCTACAATATCCTTGAAGCTTTAACTCCCTACAGCCTAGTAGTGTTTTTCAAAATGCAAGTTAATTTATCAGACAATTGAATTGTCCTTACCTTGTTAGAGAAAACAACAAACAATACGAACTATGAATCGGATGAGAACTTTAAAATACAAATATTTACGTTAAAGGTGGAATCATGACATATTGCAAGGTGAGGAACAAAATATTAAAAGGTAACAAACAGCAGTTCGTTTTGTGACCAAAATTTGACAAAATTAACGACTTCATAGACCATAATGTAACGACCTATAATAACTGATGAACGCGGTTTTATCAAGTGTGCACTGACCGTGGCTAATCAAGTAGGGAAGTTAAAGAATGGCAAAACTCATTATGGTTGCAATATGAAAATTCAAAATTACTCTAGTTTTAATGATCAGTTGATTTAAAATATCTAAATTCTTCCCAAAGCTAAAATTATGTTCCATCCAGCTCTTCTGTTATGATCATCGCATCAATTTAAATTAGCTGTAGCATCACAGAGTACTCTACTCATTATTTGAACATCACCGCGACAAGACATCAATGACAGCCCCACTTTATATTCATTTATCTAACCAATTCGCCTCAAATTCATTGTCTGTTGATTTCGTTTCTTCTCTGAATCGCAATATTTTTCTGTATGTGCAAATTTGCCGGTAGCACCGCAGTGACGACAGACATGTCTAAAAAATAATTCATTAGGTAGGAGTCACCTACTTCCATCTTCTAACCATGATCGGTGTAACATGCATCTGATCTTTTTCACATGAAAACAAGCAAAATTTCCTTTTTTTCAGACTGTGAGTGAAAATAAATTTAGCTCTTCAAATTTAATTTTTTATTATCCTTAAACAGTGGTAACATGATTGGTTGAGACTAATGTATAAGTTAAGGGAATTATTAAAATAAGTTAGGAAGACAAGCAGAATAATTCTCATGGAATTCCTAAAAATTAGGAAATGAAACTGACGCAGCCAAAACAGGACAAATCACCACACCCTTAGGATCCTTGCATACATGAGTTCGCCATGGTCCATTAAGCTGTGGATGAAGGATTATACCACCTTTCTCGTACTGAAACAAAACAGATGGTAAGAATATAGAGCTAAGATTTTTAGATGACCCGTGAAAACGCAGACTTACAGCGAAGCGAGCGTTATTGAAACAAAAAACACAATACCACTTGTCCATCTGTTGTTCTTTCTTGTTACCAGCTAAAAAAATGAAACAAACAGTATATATCAACGTTAAGAATTATTTTACGGCATTCTTGTATCACATCCATTTTCATTCCAGTACGGCTTTCTCATTCTTCTCGCCATTTGTTAATTAGCTAAAAATTATGTAAATATAACCAGTGAAATCTACCGATGGTAATATCCTTCTGCAAAGAATTCAATTGCAGTAAAGGCGAAGTAATCGAAAGAGCCACTTGATTCAGTGATATATTTTCCACATTCCGTTCAGCAACAGCAGTAGTAGTTTGTGAAATTTTGCTCTCATTATCCAATTCAACCGATGGTTTCCAGATTTCCAGAAAAGCACTAAAGTCAGCATGTAGCTGAAAAATCTAACAGTCAACCACGACAGTCTCGAGTAAAGATATGCAATGATGATGGTTGCACAGACAGCCTAATTTCCGAAACTTCCCGAGTAGATTACTTTATACTCTGCTGTAACTTAATTGGATTGCATAATCTCAACAACTGCCTGATCACTCTTTTTACTGAGAATATTTTGGGTATGAGCATTGAGTACTAACATTAAAGAGAGCATTCGTTGCTTCACTAACAAGCCAAGAATCATCTGTGTGCTCCTTAGTATCAAAGTAACTTTCTTCACTCTGTATTCCAAGAACTGGTGTATGAGTGGTCAAAGGAACAAAGGAAGTGAGCAGATCAGTTGAAGAACAATCAATATTTCTATCTAAAATAGCTAACCTGAAAATGAGAAAATTTTCATTAAGGAAACCTGAAATCTACTAGCAATAAATGAAGAATGATTAAATAAATGAATAGACTATCCTTTTTATTCCCTTCCAACAAGGAAGGAACTTGAAAGTGAACTAAGAAGTAAAGCAACTTACTCATCTTTCTGAGCATCCTTGACTGTTCCCTTCTCATAACTCATAATGGTAAACTGAAATTGAAGATGTACAATGGAGTGAATAATGGAACAAGTGAATAATTGTCCTTATATAATTAACGCATTGCTTTCATTTGAGAATTCACTAATAACAATAACTGTAAACATTTCCAGAGATAAACTTATACATTCACTCCAATTTAATTACTCAAAAACCCTACACTGGGAACATTCCAATCACCAAGATGTCGATCCATTGAGCCAACTGATTAATCGTTTCTGCAAAAGTATTGAAAGTTATTAATGAACAGATAGGAAACAATATGAAGAAAAAGGGTAAGTAAATTAAACGTACATGATCGGTGATCTCAATTCGTATCTAATAAAAGATAAAAAAGAGGTGAATTTATTTAAATGAATTGAAGCTTATCTCAAATTTAGATTTGCTCCTACTTCAATATTATGAAAATTCTGTTTACCAACTTCTCGTTTTAAAGAACTCCCGTATTCAAAATAGCGGATAGGGAGATCCCGAACCAAACATAACCAAACATAACATCATGTTATGATCCCGAGAGAGAATCACATGTCTTACGTCAGATATCATACTACGACATCCCAAATCACATACCAAATCACATTACCATAAGAGCGGAATACAAGCATTACCTTCCACACACCAACGCAGTCTCATGTTACACCAGAAACATTCAAATCCCTCAGCTATGGCACAGCGTGAGAAAGTAGGCTTATTTTATAATAGCTATTGGTTGTCCCAGTGATCGTTCACTGCCACGCCCTGTTTGAAACAATGATGGCAGTGATTTGTTTTTCTTTATTTTGGTAATAAATCGTCACCAACAAAGTTATTTGAGACATTATCGCAAGCAGTGTGCTTAATAATAGTATACATATTAGTAGCATAATCGCTAGTAGTTTAATCGCTAGTATCATCGCTATTAGCATTGTCGGAATTTTTCCAGCCATGATTTCTGAAATACTGTACTTATACTTTCTTCACGAGGATTAACTTAGACAATTCATCACATCAAAGGGATAATCGCATATGAACAGATTATTAAATACGTCGATTTGACAGTTAAAATCTTAAACTAAATGTATTCGACAACTCAGCTCCATTGATATGATCCATATCCGTTTGCTCGTCATAACTAGAATCCATAGGGTGATATGTTTTGCACATTAACCACCAGAAATAATTTATAAATGAACTGAATAGATTACAATATAACTGGTAATACGTGAGATAACAAAGTGTCAGCAGCATCAGAGTCAAACATTCCTTCTACCACAGTTCTTGAGTCCATTCCTCAGTTGTACTTCATCATCCGCGGCAATTAATTCATTGTGTACACTGGCTGCAAGAAAATAACAGTGATTTTATAGCACTCAGATTCTTTTTTAATTTCTAAATTCAGTAAATATAAATTATCACATTAGGTTCAATAAATTTTTTTGGCATTTTTCCTAAAAGAAATCTCTACAAGTAGTAAAACTAAAAAATGAAAATGCAAGGCAAAGCAAAAAAAATATTCCTCGGGATTTTATAAATGCAGAGATTGCTAACAAGCGGAAAGCTTTATTAAATTTCAGAAATGACATATACTCTTTTGCAGAAACTATCAGTCAGCATATCACAATCGATGAAGACATAAGGTGCTTTCATCGATCTCAGCATCCGTACAAATGATTGAATTGATTATTTGTGCCCTAAATTAATTATTTTAAATTATTACAATTTATAGATTATCGATAACAACAGTGTGTGGTTAGAGTCTCCCGCACAATCTAGATGATTTTATCATATTACTGTTTGTACATTACTGTTTAACAAGAAAAAATTTTTTTCAGTACATTATGGCGATAAGGATAATAAGTATTCAATAAAAGATGCGAAAATGTTGTATCTAAGGAATGTGAAGTGATGGGTAATAATAATCATTCAAATAATCATTTTAAGGGAAAAATGTTATCTTGTACCGTTATAACAGAAAATGTTAAGGATTTTGGTTCGAAAACTTACTGCCTTATTAATCTCAAAATTCCGATAGTGTTTACATGTCCAACAACGAAGCTGTTTTCTGGTGGCAGCAAATAGGCAAAACATTTCAACGGATTTTGAAAGCTTTTTGCAACAGTTGTATCAAAACTGAACTTTTGTATCTTTTCATCAAGAGGATCAATTCCGACATGTTCAGTCAGTTCTGAAGGAAGTAATCAAACTATTACATTTTTCTCTTCAACAAAAAATAAAGTTGGGCGTCTAATACGTTTTAAAACCATCTGATAACTCTGACTAACGTAAGAAAAAAACATATCATAGCCATCTTCTGCATTCTGCTTTTCCAGAATATATGGTATAAGTCAGCTTTTAGCGATATGTTAAATTCCAGTCTTCTATCAAATCGACACTCTTCATCAAATTTTCTGATATTTTTTATGTCTCATTATAAATTTATCTTTTAAGGAAAATGTTGATTTAGGTGGATCAAATTAAACAGGATTAACAAGTCAAAAAACCGGTGTTTCTCGACAATATTTAAAGTGGTACTTCTTCATGATATATAAATGACAGTCACTGTACTTTGCATGAAGTAAGCAGTCCGACATTTGAAATATTAGTAATTAACATTATAACTCCACGAGAATTCGGAAATTTGGAAAGCATTTAATTGTAATTAAAAATCACCAGCCAAACAGATAACATTCACAGTAACCGTTTCGTCATAATCTTCCGAACCATAGAACAGTAACTGATTATTTCCAGAAATAACAATAAAATCGCGTCCTTAAACCATGAAAAAAAGGAAGATTACGATATACTTGTGCAATAAAAATCCTGCTTCAATTAGCAACCAAAAGATATTTTCTTAGATCAAACTATCCGTCGGGATTATTAGGACTATTCGGATATATTCGGATATATCAGCACATTACATCACGAAGGGGATCGGAATGGTAATCTTCGAAGAATTTCATCTAATTTACTAACTATCAATAATTCAAAATCACAACAAGTTTCCTAGTTGTGATTTACAGATTAACATGGCCAGCAAAAAATGTACAGTTTTAGGAATGCTTTTTCCATTAATTTTTGAAGCGAAAATCAGTGCCTTTCGAAAGTTTCATTTTAGGTCCGGGAATTGATCTCTGATAACCGATAGCATAATGAAGTTTCATTTTAATTTCATTTTAGATTCGGGAATTGATTCTGTGATAATCCGATAGCATAATGAACATGTTAAAGCAGCATTTCCAGCATCGTGAAGTGATAGTACAGGAGCTAGATTCATCGAAAACAAAGTCAGCACTAACAACAATGAAATCCTTCTGCAACGAATCTGTGAACATTTTAGGCATTTAATATGCATATATACACTCATGGCATTAAACAGTGATGTGAATAAAATAAAACAAAAATTCTATAAACTGACTCTGAACTAACAAGCACATTCTACATAAGGCAAACGATACACAGTGAAAATATTACCAATTCAGGTTAACTCGGATAAATGACTAACTACTATATGTCTTTCTCTTGAATTCTGTCAACAAATTTGCAGATTGAAACAAATTCAATCTGCAAATCCGTTTTATTTTAAAAAAGCTTATATAGTTGAATGTAATCAGGAAAATAAGATCTATTCCGTCATGTTTGTTTTCGGTGTGCAGCACTGGCTAACTGAACTCTGAAAACAATAAAAGATTCCGACTCAAAACAATGATGAAGGTTAGAGATAGAGCAATAACTACTACTATTTTGATTCGGGAATATATAAATCTTAGCATATCTGTTGTACCCCTGCGCTCAGCGGCATTGCTTAATTTAACAAATTCAATCTGCAAATCTATTCAAAGATGGCAAGACTGAACTGGACAAAAGCTGCTTGATTTCACCCAACAACCTTTCAGCCACAACCGCGATAATCTCTAAAAGTATACTGTTACCTTCGTAAGAACTATACTTAAATTTGAGAAATCCTAAAAAGGATTCTAAAAAAACTAATGAAGCTTAGATGCAATATCGTTTACTTATGAATTATAACTTTTCAAAACTTTGCTTCGTCAAAAGGCATGGTCGCAACATATTAAATTTATAAATGATAAAGTAACAATGGTCCTCAATTGCGCATTTAAGACTCAAAATTATGGATTTCATTACATGTCGAACCACAGTAATATGTGGCATCACTTTTAGTGTTTCGCAATATAGAATACAGATTACTTTTAAATGGAATACGCAGCAATTTTAAACGTCAACTTATCGAATTTCTTTGCAAACAGTTGAGTAGATACCAGAACACGGGAATACCAACGATTGGAAGCATACATTTCGGAATATAATCCGTCAAACTTGTCATTCGATTATCTAATCCACCATAACGCAACTGCTTGAAAAGCCGGAGTTATCATAATCTGAAGAAGCTTTCGAAGAATACTTTCGCGAAGAAATACGCTTCTGATGTTCTACAAGCTTTCATGCTAAAGCACAAACTTTTTAGGTGAAAAACAGCATCAATCCAATATAAATAGCCTTTGTCATAGGTACTGGTGGCACTTATGGTGATTTTTATAATTTCTTCACTAACAGCGCTTTTTTAGCTAAGGATAATAATAACACGGGAAATCACTTCAATGCTTCTTTTGTTTTTAATACAAGCGTTAATTTGCCAGCTTCAGATACAACACGTGCTAATAAGAATATTTATTACACACCAAAGTTACAATGGCTTTGAAATCGGCTAAACTTTATCCCACCGAAGTTTATATTTAATATAAAATTAATTCATAAAAACACTGTTTACTATGCGTCTTACGATGTATAACACATTGTATTGTTTACAAATAATGAACATTGTAGCCATGCTATCATACGCAGATTTTTCTTCAAAATTTATTCATTAATAATAGCTAATATAAACTACCGTATTCAGAAATTACTAAAATAAGAAATTAGAAATTACAAAATGACAAAGGATTTAGTTCAGAAAATAAAATTCCAAAGTCTTATTTACATAAGCGTCAATTTTTTCCGACAACGATTTTCAAAGTGCTTTATCCGCCGTGCTTTACGTATGATCCAGGAGGTGGATTACTGAGAAAGTAACGGCAAATTTAATAAAATTAGCACTATGCATATACTCGTTGTATGTGCCAAAACAATTAATTCAGTTCATCTAACATATAAAAAAACTGCCATTAACTCAGAAATAACCCACATCAACTGCAAGAGCAACTGAAAAGAAACAATTTCCAATAGAAATCCGAAAGTGGTGTGAATAACGATCAGAAGCGAAACGAATCATTTCGAATGCCAAACATTCTTTTTACATATAAACAGTGATTAATAAACAAATGGAATGATTGCTCGGCGATGTTTTGGATAGTTTGGAAATTCGTGTATATAATTACGGTGTTTACCTTTTGCCCACATGGCCATTTGGTAAAACCCCGCAAAAGTAAAAATGAGTGCTGTAAATATAAGTTAGTTGATCACAGGAAAGCAGGAAAGAATATTTTGATTTTTCAACATAAATCAAATTCTTTAATCTGTTTCAAGAGAAACCATATGAACGTCTCATAAACAAACTGATGAGCTGCGACCAATTTATGGCGCGAGAATGAAGGATTTGATCACTTCTATGTTAATAAAAGGCGGATAAAAAACAAACCTGCTAATGACTGCGTCATATATGAAAAGCACAACCATGAGCCCGCCTCGTAAGTGTAATTGGGACAACTTACGAAGTTGAACATCAGTGTCATCGGATTGGCATTTGGTATTGGGATTTTGCGAACTTTAGTACCTGGGGGACGTAAATCTCTCAAAAGCAAATGAATCGATAAATTACCTGCAAAATAAGCATATCATTTATTGGGTCAGAGAAAAAGGAGAATAATAACATCATATTTCAGAATAAGCAAAAGTCATGGGATAAACACACCGAATTCACAAATGACGAAACCAGTAAGGCCTGTGGCAACCTGTACGAAACCAAAATATGGTGGGGTATACAATGGATGATTGATGAAATAACTGACAAATGCTGAGAACGCCCAATAATAACCACAGTTCTAAAATATTTATATTTCATGTCTTTAAAATATTTGTACTAAGTTATACGCTTTGGGCTTCACGCTCTTACGTTCATTTTTAAACGTATTAATGAGGAATCCCAAATTTCGACTGTAAATCAGTATTCCATTGCAAATTTCTTTTATTGATACAATTGACTTTTCCAGAGAATAAAAGATATCTTCAAAAAACGTTCAAAAATCTGAAATTCTGCCTCTTCTTCCGATCTTTAAAAATCCGAAGACAAAAAAAGTATAGCAACGACTGAAAATAGATTACTTTGAATATATTCCGCAAAGGCATTGTTGCATTGCTAAATCGATGAACATACTGGGTTTCCAACAAACGTTTTGCATAATGAAATGACCAACAAACCAATGCAAATTTTGCTCCATAAGACATAGGATATCGAGATGCGTCTTCAAGATTTGATGTTACTTTTTTTGCACGTGATTTATTTCACTCAATGATTTCAATGAAAAATAGCCTATGTAAGTATCGTGAGAAATCACCTGGTCCATAGATTTCGATTGGCCTTAGATAGAAAATCGGATAAATAAGAAGCGGGCCAAGATATTCAAGAAGAAAAACCTAAAACAAAAAAGTCTTCGTATTAAAATGAATCAATGCGTATTCGAAAAGAGTTAACAATACACTCTACATACCGTCTTCCATCCGATTTGTGGTCCAAGAACTCGAATATATAAATGAGCACCCTTCGAAGGCAAATTCAGATCTTGCACAGTTAGATCATCTTTCAAATTCTTCCCTTTCGCATCTAACCGCAAAGCTATCTGATTGATAGGAAGTAAAAGCTCTAAATATTGTAACAAATCATCATAGAACAATAAAAAATTAAATTACATTAAAACTACCAAAAAGACAAGTGGAAACTCAATGTAGTCATATAAACTCACTTTGGGACAGACGCTTTTTGATTGCCATAACTGATTCATCACAATTGATCTAAACTATGAAATAATCAATGGAACTTTCACCAACAATTTCGTTTTGTTCTCAACAACAACAGCACTGGGAATACATTAATTTAAAACAAACATTTTCCAGGAAGGCAATCGATCGACTAACGCTTTTGGCATCAAAAACTTCAACTGCAATCGAAGCCATTTCTGCAAAAACTGTCACAGTATTAATGAATTTCTGTAAACTGAAACATACAACAAATTATACGACTAACAAGGTTCGAGAAATAAACGAAAGAAGAAAGAAGGCAACAGCTCTACCTTTGACCCACTCTACCTTTGACCCATAACACATTTTATACGATGTGTGAAAGATCGTACAACAAGAGTTCCCGAGTGGTTTTTTCCCCTCATCCCATCTCCTCTAAAAATTACTGAACGAATAACTAAAATAAAATATGCTTGCAGTGAATGCTAAATTATATATGTCGCACCCAGCTTGTTCTGAAATTTAAAAAACAAAGATGACATAAAGGCTATCCAACGGACCCATAGCAATAGCTCTCAGCGAAGTAGTACCTCCCTTTCAAGTCTCTCTTTACCGTATCGAGCTTACTTGCACCATCTAGTCAGAGCTAAAGAAATACTCGGGGCAGCTCTATTTTAGAAGCAGTATTTTTTATGTTACTTCTTTTCTTATTAACTTCCTTTGGAGAAGCTTTTGGTCTTGGTATAAATTTCAGCTGTTGCTTGGGATTCCCCTGCCATTAAGCGAGGACAAGTTTTTCTTATTTTGTTTACCAATCTTCCCTGCGACGGTCTGGCATTTCGCGGTTTGGACGAGGGTTGCTAAATAAAATTGTAGGTTACCGATGATGAAGTTGTTGCATTTAAGTAGGTAAATTATTTAGGCTAGGGTATGAGCATTTCCGCATAGAAGGACACGTCGAGCCTACAAGGGAGAGTTAAACTGAGCACTAGGACTAATTTGATGGTAGGTTGCTTTGATAATAATTCCTGAACAGGCTCATTGGTACTTTCTCATAACTTAGCGTGCAAAATTACGATATTTTACAGTCAATGTTTCGAACACGATTATATTAAAGATTGGTTAGAACGCTATAGGTTTCATAACTGTAATCTGTGGTGAATGTTTACGTTGAATGAGTACCAATGATTTTCTTGAAAATGTTATGTCAGGTCATGCTGTTCCGTGCACCATCACTAATTGCTTTTTGTCCAGGGGTTGCCAGTGATCGAAAAAGTGAGGCAAAATGACGTCAGATACTGGTTTTGGATCAAAAGCTTATCCTATCGCTGACACTAGCTTGTCTCAGAAGTTACTTGATCTCGCTCAACAGGCTCAAAGTTACAAGCAGCTAAAGAAGGGTGCGAATGAGGCTACGAAGACGCTGAATCGAGGACTTGCAGAGGTTATTTTCAGTTTTAGCCGATTTGACAACCTTATTTTATTTCAGTCGTTGCATATCAAAACTCTAGTGATACATATTTCATTGAGACGAAATATGGATTTATGAATTGAAAATATAAAAAGCCGATATAGTTAGATTTATGTGGGATTAATAGATGCACTACTTTCGTTTAGAGTCGGGTCCATATGACATCTGCTTCTGTATTTCTGATTTAAAGTCATCTCCACTGCACATACAGTGATATTTTTCTCCGATTAGTGAACATCTATTGTGTAAAGTTTCAGGTCATTATAATGGCTGCTGATGCCGAGCCATTGGAAATTATCTTACATTTACCATTACTTTGTGAAGACAAAAACGTCCCTTACGTGTTTGTGCGCAGCAAGGTAATCTTTATATATACATGATGTGCATGGAAGTTTTGTTATAAATAAGGTTTTCTGGAAGTACTCCATATAATTCTTTATTTTTTTCTGTTTTAGTTTAATGTTTTGAAACAATTTCAGGCAGCTCTTGGCCGAGCATGTGGTGTATCACGTCCTGTAATCGCTGCATCAATAATCCAGAATGAAGGTTCTCAGCTGAGAAGTCAGATACAGAAAATCAAGGAAGAAGTGGAAAAACTGTTGATTTGAAAAACACTAATCTTTTTTATCTCGATGAAAATTTGTTGCTACAGTTTTAGATTTTAAAAAGTAGATTCAAACTTTCTTTTTCAAGCATAAAATATGAAAGTTTTAGTTTGAATAGGTTGATTTACATGTTACATATGTTTGAATCAATATGGCTAAAAACTATGGGGAAAATTGATATTTTCAGTTATCAACATTTCCAGTTATCATATTGATATTTACAAGATTTCTTTCGAATTTTACTTCTTTGACCATTGATTCAACTACGTTGTTTAAATTCATTTTGAACATGGAGAAATTTCATTCTTTGGTCATACAGTGCTCTTCGTATTCATTTTACGGTTCGGCAGATTTATTTTGTTGTTAAGTTGATTAATATACTTCATTCAGCGCTGAATTTTGTTATTTTTATATCGATATGTACGAACACGTCTTATCAGTAAAGGAGATCAATTCTTTCTATGAATCATGGGATAGATAGCCCTTCAGCGTAAAGTTGAGATCAGATTGGGTTTATTCATCTTGTTTCAACATATCCAGCATGCGACGGGATATATACTATATCCTACATGCACAGCAACGGTTGTTTGATTTGTCAAAAAAATTTTTAAATAAAATGTTGAAGCTTTCGCCTTTCCGAAATTCATAGATCATACATGAATAAAGATAGCGATTAATTAATTAATTGATTAGTTAATTAAGCAATCAATTAATCCAAACAATTATGAATCCTAGATTTGCGTTTATTTAACAGCAAATAGAATCGCCTAGAGTCCCCTCTTTTTGTTACAAAGTGAATGAAAGAGAAGGGTTTTCATTGGTTGTCCTATTTATTTTTGTATTCATTTTTTACAGAGATTGGCGACTTAAGGCCACAGTTGTTGGTGGATAAGTTGGTTCAAATTCCACTCCTGGTGATTTTCATGTAGATTTTCATGTTCATGTAGAAAGCATTCACTTAGAAGTATTATGATTTCTGATTTTAATGATGCACCCTAAAGAATCTACCCGTGCTATTCGAACAAAAGCAATTGTCGTCTTTTTGGTTCCCAATCGTCCATTTTGATCATCTTCTTCAGTACATCAAAAAAAGTTTTCAAATGTGTTTAAAAGTACAAATATTTTTTGTAAGTGATAAGAATTAATTAAGGAAATGAGTATGTTTGCTATCTGCAAAAATAATTGCCAGATATTTCAGTTATGTCATTCATTTCTAGTTTGATTTGTGAAATGAGACAGTGTAATGAACACAATAAACTGAATAAAAGGCAGAAATGAATAATAAATTGATAAAATTAGAAGTTCTTTACTTCTAATAATAATTTAAACTGCTCAGTCTTATTTAGTACTAGAGTTATTTTTATAATAAAAATTGTACCCACGTTATCCACAGAATGATCAATTTATTATCTGTCCCATGGTCAAATTTTTGAATCTTTTAATTTCTCTCTTTAAATGATCGATAATATCCACAATAAACATGGTTGATCATTTTTTCTTCTCGGTGAACAAATGTTTTAAACGGTTTGTATAATATATAATTTCAATTTGATGAGCTAACTTTATCTACCCAATTTATAATATGTATAGAGGAGTTACTTTCTTTTGTAGTAGTAAGGAAGAGTGGAAATGAACACTGAAATGAACTAACTTTGGAATTCATCGAGTAAGTTCAAAATGATTTGCTCGTTAGTCTTCTCATTAATATTGAATTAATATACAATTGATCTATTTATAGGATGACATAGTAGAAGGCTTTGTCAGTAAACTGACAATAACAAGAAAGATGAACCGATCGGGTGGATGGGGTGGTTGACAGATAGACGCATATGACTATAATTATTGTTTGTACAGCGGTATGGATGTTTTGAGGATGAAGCGCATGCTCTGTACTCGTTTATATATACATATTACATATACGGTAGGCAGTTTATTACTCATTAATATCCTACATCCAACTGAAACCCTTCTGGTATCCAAATAAATAATTCTGGATCCTTGTCAAGTAAATTTGTCATTTCGAAAGGCATCTCAAAATTTCCAATTGAAAAAGCTATTTCTATTTGCCCTGTTTCCTTCAGATCTTATAAAATAAATGATGACGAGTGCACAGTGATCTCGAAAATTAACGGGACTATGATGGTGGAATGGCAGGAAGTCATGTATAAGGAATTTAGAAAGCTGAACTTATATCATCGCACAAATCGAAAAAAATTCAATTAGGATTTCCGAAATTGTTGTAACATAGAGAAAATAGGCATTTAATTGCAGATAAATTAGAAGGATCTATAAATCAAAAATGAATAATACGGAAGAATCACATCAATCAGCATTTCAGTATGGAAGAAAGCTACCATCAATCATCAGTGCTGCTCGATTACTGAGACTTCGGTCTGGATCGTTCGATGAAGGTACATTTGTTTCAAATCGAACTGACTTTCTTAAAATTCTTCAATGTTTCAGTAAATCATATTAGTCTGCTTTTTTTCTCGAAAATATAAGAGATCTACCTTTAATTTTCAATTACCTTTAATTTCTCTACAAATTAAAATTAGCATGCCACTGCAAAGTAGACTGCTCTAAATGAACAATGCCCTCGTTTGAGAGTTAATATCTCAAATTTTATGTCATTCTTCATCAAAGCAAACCCAGTATCATTTAATTACTTATTAATTATGGACCACCAAGTTAATATTTTAATTTTGTCATTCTCATGTTGAGTATAGCTTTACCTACGATTTTATACTAAGCCCTATCAAAAACGTCAAATTTATCGTATAAATTATCATTTATCTTCATCATATAATTACGTCGCAGAGGCAAAAGACGAGAAGAAACCAAATCGCATAAGTCCATTTTCACCTGAAGCTCGTGTTCCACTACCTAGTGAAATCGATGAAAAGTAAGCTATTATTTATTTGAGAAATGGATTATATTTCCCAAAAAGCTAAAGAAATAAATCATCACGAATTAATAATCTTATAATATTATTTTCCTTTAATAAATCTCATCAATTCAATTTGGAAACTTTAGCAGCTATGGAACCACTGTGTGGAAGCGAAATGAAAGGGAACGTCTACGTGTTCGTTGTGTAAATGACGGATATGAAAGACTGCGTGATCATTTACCGCTTACCGAAAGGTTTTATTTCCTTTTTTGATCAAACTTCGTAAAAGTTATGTCTGTAAATCCGTAAGTTGTCCGTAAATTAATCTCTGATAAATTCGACTACGAAAGTAACAATTCACCATCCAAGAATTTATGTCAAATTTTTGACAACTTTTCATATCATTTCGGAAATGAGAAACAGTGGCGTTTTCAGCGATCGTCGCATTAGTAAGGTGGATACGTTACGCTTAGCGATCCGATACATACGTCATCTGGAAGCTTTGCTGCAGAACTATGATCACTGGATCAAATGTGACTGTTTCCAGACTTTTCAAACCGAATCTGAGGAACGTGCCGAGCGTCTTCATAGAATCGATCGCAGGAAGCGTGCTGTAAAGTGATAGGAACGATGAATAACCAATTTCTTCGTTAATTGTTCTATCCACTAATAAAGCTTCCCACTCTTCTAATTGACTGCAAGAAAATTTCGAAAAAAAAAAATTCCAACCACTTCTTGATATTTTACATCTTAAGAGAAAAGAAAAAATCATAAAAATGAAATTAACGATATAATGAAATGTTCTGCTGATCCTCTCTCCATTGTGCACATTCAGAAATGCAAGATTAAACTAACTGCTGCAACCCAATCGTAGTTTTTCATATTTCCGACGAAGGCGGCGCGATTCACTTTCTTCACATCCACTTTATTTTACGAATCTTCACACGGTAATTCGAAATTCAACTCCAAAATACAGTGAAATCATAAACCCAACAGTGATATAATAATGACTTAAGCATTTCCAATCCAGTGTGCCATCTGACTTGACAATAGCGCCTTGACACACATAATTTGCAAAGGGTCCCACATTTTCAGTTGCAGTTTGAATTCAGCTTGGTTCGTTGGTATTTTTTAGCGATTTGAAGCCGTTGTTTGGACATTTTGTCAGTGGTGGAGGTATGAATGCTGTAGTTGTTGGTAGGTCTTGGGTTTTCTTCTCGATTTCTTTTATTTACTCTGTTTTCCTCAGTCTCCGCGCTTCATTGTATGGGAAATATCGTCTCGCAGGAGCTTTGTATTTAAATGTGAATTATGCATTACAGGCAGATTGTCTTGTTGGTTGCTTGAATATGTCAAAAGGAGGACAGAAATTGTCGAAAGAGGATGAATTATTGCTAAAGGTGAAGTTTAATACTTGATTATGGAGTGCTATGGAGTTAGAGATTACACCTGCTGTTAGGCCATCAGAGAATTCTGTTTCTATGGGTAGATTTTACATTCAGCTCTTATTGTCGCACGATTAAGTTCTACTTATCTGAATATCTTCAATATAAAGTTTTATTGATCTTTATCTCTTTATACAATCACATCAGCAAGTTAGCATTTAAGTGTAACTTAAATGTTCACATTTGTTGGCATAATCTATATGAATTCTCTTATAATGAAAACTTTTTTGCTGAACAAACTATTTCGGATGGAAGAAAAATTTAGATCTTGAACTCATATTACAAACTCTCATATTACAACATTCTTGTGTGCATTTTGTGAATAATTCCTTTTAAAATCTCTTATTATAATCTAAAGGACTTCTCAGCAGCCGTATCAACAAAGGGGAGTGCGCTGTTTTATGGAAACTCGACAGTGATTGCTATAGCACCTCTATATCTATTCCATGGAATACATCAGATGGAAGTAGCCGATTCATGGATTATTTGGTTAATTTCATCGCTAACCGCATCTTACCTTATCAGTTTTGCCTACAAGAATATCAAGCACATCCTAAAACATAAGTAACCTCCTTGATGTTTTGTCACAAATTTGATATTAGCAAAGAAATGATTTTATTGTTTATTTTTCCATTGATTGTTTAATCGAAGTTTACTCATCCCAATAATATTTTTCTTTAAATGTTTCACTTCATTCCTAGTTCCTCCATTCCTTATTTGTAGAATTGTTGTAAAAAGGAATGAGGCAATAACTCGTGAAATGAATCGAAAATTAGCGGATGATAAAAAAATGTCAAAGAAAGAGAAAGAGGAGAGAATTTTATGGAAGAAAAATGAGGTAAGTATTTGTGAAATTAAATTTTTCTTTACTTGAAATTGTTTTAAAAATCTGTATTAAAAGTATAATTGATAAAATTAAATGTTGTTTTAAATATTAACGTTTGTCAGGACGCCCATACTAGTTTTTAGAAGAATTCAGGTTGGAGATTACGAAGCAACTACTTTTTCGATCTTCTGGAACAATATTCTTTTCCTTTCACTCCTCCTTGTATTATCATTCTTCTTATTTGCCTCCATGTCACCTACTTTCAATTGTCTGTTTTCTATGGTTGGCGCAGCTGGTTTGGTTGCTCTTTTCTCAACTGCCAAGTAATATCAATTTTCATGATCATACTATTTTTTTAATAAAATATTAAGATTTGGAAAAAGGACTAGCGGTGTTCAATTTCTGCTTTGAGTTACTTTGTGACCTGAAAGAATGTTTTCTTGCATACGATTTGTCCTTTGTTATTGGTGTGAATTGTTAATGATGTTTGTTCCCATTAAATTTATTTGATAAAAATATTTCTGTCCTTACTGAAATGTATGGTAAAGCAGTTGCAAAACCAAAGTTTTTATGTGCTTTTATCCATGTTATCATTACGGTCATGCTATAAAATGTGACAAGTTGTTGACAGAATGTTTTTATATAATAATATTAAGAAACTTTATAATAATATTAAAAGATATAATGAATTAGAATGGTCAATTCATTAGTTTGATATGAATGCAATAGTCAGTGTGCGTAATGGATGGTCGAAAGTCGCCTCGATTAGAGGAGCCGATAAACACAAGCGAGAAGAGAAACGCTGTTGCGAAAATGATGCAAAATGGCGATGTAAAAGGTGATGGAAGATTTAAGGTAGCTGTAACTTTATTTGTAAAACAGTGACTAAGCAAGTGGATTAGTGGTTACTTTGTCTCATTAGTTACAGGTTATGATTGCCCATTTCTTAAAAAAAAGGCAGATTCCATAGTTTCGGCATTATTAGCGATGTTTTTAATATGACATAAGTTTCGGCCATCCAAAATATTAAAAGTAGCTAATTGTGTTAAATCAAGAAGTATATTAATAATTTAACAGATTCATAAAACACCCTCACTTATCAGTGAGGGTGTTTCATGAATCCGCTAAATCATTTGCTCTTATCCAATCCTTAATTTCGGTAATTTAGCACTATTTATAAGAAATAAAATGAGAAAGTGTAAGCTTTATTTTTTGAAAGCTGGATAGTCTTAAGAGAACAATGGTTGCAGATTCACCGTATTGTTTTGTGTCGAACAGCTCGTTGCTTTGTATCCAATGTTACATCACCAAGCTGCATATGGGTAAAGCCTGTGAACCATATTACTGAGAAATTACAGATCCGAGACCTGTGAGTTTATTCCTTCACAACAAGGCTGCTATGTTTCCGGTTGCTATATCTTGACTTAAAGGCGAAAAGGAAGCACACGAATTTCAGGTACATCAGTATTTCACTTTTCAGGAATACATTGATCCCAGCGCCAGTGGCACACGAAAACCGCTATGTGATGGCACCGATTGAGGATGGTGTTTATGCTCGGGCTCGGATTCGTGAAATTGATCAGGTTGATGGATGTTTATTTCAAAATTTTTACTACTAAAAGTATTTGTATAAATGTGTTTCACAATTTTAGCGGAAAAAATTTGTGAAAGTTTTGTTCATTGACGAAGGAACCACCGCTTGGATGAGTTCTGCGTGCCTTGCAAAAATGGACGAAATGTTAGCTTTCCATCCTTGGCAAGCAATTCCTGTCGCATTATTTAAGGTAATTTTTTTTTTTTTTTTTAAAGAAAACAAAGAATTTTTATATCTCAGTGCTGCGGGAAAAATGTTGAGAGTGATGTATCAGTTTGGTCGGTGGTTGCAAATTTCTTATTGATTCCCGAGTTTTTAGGTGAAGCCATATCAGGACATTGTCGTTGATAATGTACAACCGAAATGGTCGAAGGAGGATACAGTAGTTTTGCGAGAAATTCTTAAGAAATTCAAATTTGTTCGTGTGGAGGCAATCCTTAATAGTGTTCCCAGCAATGATTATTGCGATTTTGTAAAGGTTCGTTATCTTCTGTATTGATAATTTACGTAGAAAATTACGATTTCTTATCCATCTATTTACTTTTGTCAATTACTTTTTAACTACCTGAGTTAAAGGTTAATATGTATGGAATGGATTCGGAATCGGACGAATTGGGCACTTCAATCACACATTTGTTTGTCCGTGAACGTTACGGTGAAGTTGATTTTGAACGAGATTTATTTGATGGAATCACGCAAAAAATATTTGAAAGTTTTGTAGGTTCATCATTTCTACAAAAACCATGAAATTGCTGCAGCGACTGTAAATATATTATTGAATTTTTTCTTGCTTGTTTAGTATTATATGGCTGTAGTACATATAAAATCTAGATAGAAAAAATTTATATTTTTTTTTTCATTTTAAGGATTTCTATAATTTTTATTTTTTAATCATTTTTCATATCATTTTCTTTCACATTTAATTCGTTTATTTGAAGACAGATAGAGAAGTTCTGACTGTGGAGACTTTAGAAACTTGGCGACTTAATTTTCCAAGCAAAAGCGAAACTGGAATTGTAACAGAGCAACCCATCGTGGATGAAGCAGTCGCATATAGTAGACAGGTAATATTATTTTGTTTTGCTTTATTTTCTTTTTTTGCGTGTCGTTCTTGAGTAATAACTACTCTTTTCTAATTTTAGATTCCATTAGTGGACGTTAATTGGTTGAATGAGGAAGGATACAATCACAAAGGAGAATATTTTGTCAGTATTGAGGGAAGGTGTCTGATTCAACTTCTTGATAATTCCGTTATTGATAAATTTTATTTAAAATTTGCTGAATAATATTCTTATCAGTGGGACCTCATTTTGCATCTCTTTGCTGCTTACGTCCTAGTTTTGAAAATTTTTTTCAGATACCTTACTGAATTATTGCTAAATGGAATAAAAGTTTTACTTCAGCTTTATAGGAATTATTCAATAATGTTAATATACTAATATTATATCTAATTTTTGAAGGAATACTGTTTCACCGTACGAATTTTACGCTCGCCCACTGAAAATGGGAAGGTTAAGGGAAGCATCACAAGGTGATGCAGGCAGAGAAGAATATAGTGGCAGCAGTGCAGCAGATGAAGAAGATGCAATGATTTCAGCAAATGATGAACTTGCTAATTTTGCTGAAGAGTTAAACTCATTCTATGGCCATCCCAAAAACAGAAAACTTATCGATTCATCCCAAGTGTTCGTTTACTATTTTAAACAATCTTCTGTTTTATAGTTTAGATTTTTTCTTGTAACCGATGCTACTGTTATGATGTTAAAAAATTTAGGATTCTAAAATATTTATCATTTAACATTATCTGTTAGAAATTATTTGCTTTTTTTAAAAAGGGTTGTTGGCTTGGAAAAGGGAGAACGTATATATGGCATTGCGGAAGTAGACGATGAATTTGCTCAATTTACTGGCTGTTGGCAGAGAGTTGAAATATTAGGTATTAAGGTTGGTTGTATTAGAAAAGAAGTAAGTTAAATATAAGTTTCAGGGAAAATTGGTTGCTGCAATATGTTTAGGGGTTTTCATTTTTTTGCAGAGTGGCAACTTTTTGTAAATTGAAGTCTTCAATTTTTCAGGACGGTTATTATTCTGAAAGCTTTTTTTGTCGCATACGATTTCTTGATTCTGGCGGAACTGATGTCCGTTTGTTGTCCAGTATCCTTGAAATAAATCCAATGTAAAAATTTTGCTTGGGAGTTAATCGTAGTTCTTTTTATATTGTTATTTTAAATTTATATCGTAATCCTGAATCATTCCTACAGCTTCATGGTAAATCCTAATTCATTTAATATAAGCAACAATTGTGAAACTTTCATGTAATCCTCTCCACATTTTTCTTGTGCATTTCATCTTTTAATTTCTATTAGACATTGTGTTCGACCACCTTTCTGCTTGCAAATGTGTATGCACGGGCTGAAACCGCCGATTCATTTGGATTGGTCCGAAAAGGCAAAACAGTTTTTCTTTAGTGAACTCCGAGAAGATGTTCCTGTCGCTCTGAATATTGTGGGTTGTAACAAAAAGTCCGTTTTTCAAAACTTTTAACCGTAGTTTGAAACTGTAAATTTCTTCATTTGCTCATCGCAAATCATTCATGATTTATGATGCTGCTTTGCTGATTGATCAAAAACATACAACGTTAAAAATATTCTTTATCCAATGATCCAATGCTAACGTTTGCATTTTAGAAGTGGAAGCCGCCATTTGTATGATTGTGAACCCTTTCAAAGACCAGGCGTACTGTATGTGAATTTCATTCAGGTAAATTACTGTATCTTGTGGCACTATTATATATGTATAAAAACCCATTTGATTTGTCGATATTTCAGGTGCGCGATGGTTCTGTTACAACATTGGATATTCGACTTCAAAAAGAAGGACACGCCGTAATTGCGTGCCACAGTCCGGTAAGGCTAGTAGAATGACGTCAGCATCTGCGAATTACATGGCAGTTTAACTACTTTTTTGTTTCTTCAAGATTTTTTTGCAGCGGTTGCCTTGTTTCATCCTTAGTAAAAGAGCGGAACAAACTTTCCAAAAATTTAGAAGGCCTTTTTTGATTTCGATTGCTTGAAAAATTTTACTGGCAAGATATAAATAATCCAAGTAGGAAAAAATGAGGCTTTTAATTCAAAATGAAATTTTTAATACATTTAGTTGTAAATAAGTCTATAGCAACTCCATCTTTATTCAGGGTTGTTTGATTTTTTAGTGATCATTCTTTTTATTTGATGGATGTGTTTATAATTCTTATTAGATTTTTATTATGAAAAGACTTTTTTGATGTAAATATTGAGCTGGAAAGTAAAAAGTTTGAAAAATAATTCTTATATAAATATTGAAATTATGTGCAGTCTAATCTGGAATAGTCCAGTCATCAAGTACAATATCTAGTAGCTGGTTTAATTCATTATTTATATAGGTTGTGACTATAACGGATTTTATAAATCGATCTTATGGTGATATTTCGTTTTTTTAATTTAAAAAACCTCATGGTGTGTTGAGTTCCATTTACTATTGATAAAAATATTTTGTTTGGTTGTGAGCGCGTTTTTACACTATCGAGGAGACTCGGTTCTTCAAAAATAGGAAAATGAAACGCAAAAGTGTGTTTCATAGTGAGGCACTTTCCCTCATTATTCATTACCCATTTCTGACACTCCTTTGTTTTGTAGAATAATTTTGAACGATACATTGCAAAATTTACCAATCACTGATCAAAATCCTTTAGAATCTTGTATTTTGGGAAGTCTCTTGCTGAGAATTCCACTAAATTTTAATCCGACTTTTTTAAAAACTGGTTACATATTGTATCAATCTTGTTGCTGATTATAACACTGATTAGGAAAAGGTGTCCAACTAGCTTAGTCTTCCTGAATAGGAGTTTTCAACATCAAAGACCTTCATTTCATACTTTAATGAGTATTTATGTTTATTGAGAAAGGTTAACACTGGCCAATTGTTATTTAGGTGTTTTAGTTAGTTTTAAATTATCAACCCATCAACTTTTATTTTAGATAACCATAGCAGAAATTGTCTATTTGCGTTTTCCTCTTCGGAAGAAAAAGAGACTTTTGTCATATAAACTTGTAAGTAGGATCACTTGGCTGAAGTCAGCAAGATGGCGAAGAACGGATGTCCGTTCTTTTCCTTGCAAGGAGGTTCTAAGATACCTTAAACGTAATGATCTACGCCATTTGGCAGAAGTTTCCGTTAAGAACTGTTGCGGTACTCTGTATTCAATTATATTGGGAAATAATTGGATTCTGGTTGCAGGATGTCGTTTTCAGGTCTTAGAATCCGTGAAATCCATGTATTTTCAATCACTTATTTTAATAATATGCTTCCTTTACGCATCAGTCGCTGTGCTGGATACAAAGCTGAAAGCTTTATGGAATCTGGATAAAGTGAGCATTTGTAGGCTCGGCTATCCGGCTACTGTTTATAACAATTATGGATGCTGGTGCGGTATTGGAGGCTCCGGGAAGCCTATGGATGGAATTGATAGGTTACACTTTGCCCCACCACTTATATTCAGGACGTTGCAAATTAGAAATTTTTAAAATTAGACGCTGTAAATAGAAATTTTTACTTCGAAATTTCTCATTCGATTAATCATATTTTACACTTTTTTTTTGTATATCTATGATTGAATTTTCACGGGTCTACCTTTGAACACATACTTACAAATGAGAATATGGGTAGATGTTCACATGCAATGTTAATCTTTCACTTCCTGCAATTTTTGAGATAACTTGTTTAGAAATTCTTCGATGCTTTGTCATGCACAGTCTTGCTTTCCTGATTTTTTAATCTTTAAAAATCATGACTAAAACATTCGATTTCATTTCATATGTTGCATGAGACATGATTTCTGTTATGACAAGGCAGTTCGCGAAGGTGATTGCTACAATACAGCTGAGGAATATCTGCTTCCGTATAAGTGGAAATGTATCCAGGGACGATCCATTTGCTTGAATAATGGTAATTTTAGTCGTTTCTAAGTTGGATAAGCTGTCCTGGCACCTAGAATAAGGAAATTCTGAAGAAAAAAAATGAAATTGATTAGTAACACCGTTATTTTTAAGCCATCGTTCAAATAATTTTCAAATATCTACCATTTAAAGATTTCATTTAAGATATCATGTAAAATTTCTACGTGAATATGGTTAAGATATCATTTAAAGTTAGTCAAATTATCTTTTCAATTGTCAAAACACTAGCAATATTAATTTCCTTGCGTATAACGCGTTGAAAAATATTGCAGAGAATTCAAAATGTGCTAGTGCCATATGCGCCTGCGATAATGAAGTGGTCAAGTGCTGGAGTCGTTTTGAAAAACCAAAAATTCATACAAAGTGTACGAAAATGTATAATAACAGATATCGTTACCGTCACCCGCCACTCCATTTCTTCTCTTAATAAATATTCTGTACTTTGAAAACGACTGTGATCAGACATTAAGAATTCTAACTTGTTCTGTGCTTCTTTTTGAGGAGTCAAAGGAGTCAAAGGATGAAAGTCGAAAATATCAGGAAATTTGAATTTATTTTTTGCTTATTTTCCCATTTTCAAATTTTCAGCTCATCATCCTTTTTTCACTTCAAAACGTGAATACGAAGATCCATTGCCAAAAACATATCGCTGAATATGTTCGTTTCTATAGCAAAATACTTTGTCGTAAAATAGAGTTTCATACTTCTGATGTTTTTTCTTGACTAACAAATATTCAGATCTCCTATGAACAAATTTTGATTTCTATATATGAATAAAACTAATATTTAGATGGATGCGAATTATATCATGCATGAAATTGAGAATAGAGTGACTGATTAACTGAAAATTTGGAGACCAAATGCTGCGATTTACATCAACCACTAGCTGCTAGGAAATTAATAATGTGTACTTTAAAGTATAATTTCGATTTAAAATCACTTGTCATTGGCCGTTTCGACAATAAAAACCAATCATTGTTTATTTATAGTATCATCAGAGCAGCCATGTTTTTTTTTTGATGGGCTCATCAGCGGCTCAAAGTAGTAAAGTAGGAGCTTGCGATTCCTGTTCAGAATTTCATAGTTTTAAAATGATGAAGCCATTCCGAGCTATCATTGTGGTAGCATTTTACGAAGCATTCTTTCATAAACTTCCGTATCGTTGATCTGCAATTACTGCTATCATCAACTTTCGCGAATAGGTATTTTGTTCTTTTTCTTCCACTACACTATCCTTTTTTATATCCGACATTATCATCTCCAAGCAACAAAATTCAATTCCTTTAATGGTAAGATGATTTAATTTTCTAAGGAAATCGCAATAAAAAAGTAATAGTATTTTAATTGAAAAATTTAAAACTTAGCCTTTTCGTTTCCACCTATCCTCGCAAAACTTCATTTCTTTGATATTCAAAAAATATCATTTTTCTCTTTCTCTCCTACTTAAATTTAATATATTACAAGTTTAATATTATTTCAAATTTTTAATAAAATAATTGATGCATCCGAATAAACGACAGAATTTATTTTCCACATTTTTAGAAATGGGAAGGAGAGAGAACAATACTGTGATAACTACAATTTTGTTCAAACAGTGAAAAGCGAATCGACGAAATTTTTTAGAAATCAAAAAATGCATTAATTCGAATTAGTTACTATCGTTACCTTATGTTTGGTTAAAGTATATGTCTACATATTGGGTACAAATCAAAAGGCAAAAAGATTCATGTAGCTAAAACATTTGAGTATCATCACAAATTGCTCTAATCGTTTGCTTTTACATGGAAATTTCTCGCTCTTTCAAACTAATAATGATCCTAAATGATGTATTATGGCTCAGTATTGATTTAACTTCTTCTTCATACTTTTAACTTTGGTAAAAGCAATTAAGATGTTGAAAGGTGTTGAAGCGGCATTTTAAATGCAGCAGTCCCGCCAGTATTCACAATACTTCTCGAAGTCCGAAAAAAATATGAAACGCAAGTATTCTATGAAATTGATGGAGATAAAAGATTTTGACCTTTATAAAAAGAATTCAAGATGTTTTTAATAACAATTTTACACTATCACGGAAGGGGAAAAAGAATTGCCCTGCACTCGCTTCCAAACAAATAATTGTAAATAGTAAAAATTTTTTGAAGAGAATTATAAAAAATGTTAAACTTTGTTTATGCATCTAAAAGGTAATGCAAAAGGAAGCAATGATATGTTATGAATCTAATCATAATTTTTTTATGAAACTTAAAATTATTTTTAAAATTTCTGGTTCAGTGGTGTCATTTTCTCTTTCCAGCTTATGTTTTCAAAACTATCAAACATGAGACGCAGTTAAAGATTTAAGAATTTTTAACTACTTAAGTCATAAAACCTCACTAACCTAATGAAGGTGCATAACAGAACTCTCAATGTAAATCTCAATCACTGAGATCGCTATTTTATAGCAGGCCTGTTTATTTAGCGAAGCAAACTGTTTGAAACGGAGGCACACTTAAAATGCTAGTGCGCATTACTTTAGATATTTAATTTTGAAAAATTTTTATTAAGAAGCACTTCTTTAATTAGCAAATCGAAGTAACAACCAAAAATCTTTTATCATATGAAACTTTAGCAAAATGCAAACTAATTTTGTTTTCAGAAACTGTCAATTCACTAAATAAAATCAGATAATATTAGAAATGCAAAAACAAATACTAATGAGTTTGATTTCTGATTATTTGAAGTACTTAATTTCAATAAAAGTGAACTTTGAAAGTGCTAATTAAAGTACTAATTTCTTTTGAACCGAATGGTAACATCTAAAATATTTTAAACTTGAAAAATTTAAGCTAATTTTCAGGTTGGGTCAGATTGAAGAGCATGAAAAACGCGAAATAATGCAAAGTTTAGTATTTCAAGAAGATATGATTTAAATTATGCACATATCATGCATGTTTATAACTTTTTTACGTCAATTTTTATTCAATAGCCAAATGCTCCTACTCGTGCTAAATGGCCTTAGAAGCTATTAGGCCTAAGCCATCAACTCCGCTTCATCCATTTTTATATTATTATTTACTTCTGTGTTGCATTTAATTGGTCGATATTTCAGTTATTATCATCATTTATTCCGAAAACTTTTAAAATAATAGACTAAAAATTTGTTTGGGTGAAACTGATATCTTTTGAGAAATGTTTTTTTCAGTCCTCTGAAATAAAATTGTTTACATAATTTTTGTATTGAACTGATATTTTTTTAAAACGGAGAAGTAAATAAAAGAAACTGGATTAGTAAATTATTGGATTATATTTTAAAACTTGAAGAGAAAAAAACTTGAAATAGAGCGGCCTAAGAACCTAATAGATCAGACTATTAATGATATTATAACAGTATTCACTTATTTTTTCATTGCCTTTTTCACTTTTCTTTAATTCAGTACATTCTTTTCCAGTCTTAAAATATGCTCCACCTAGCAGCCAAATAGTGAGTTGATAAAATCTTTGCCTAAATGTTTTGAAAGGTGGTGCAAACAGTATTATGTTTATAAGGAATTGTAAGTATTCATGATTTCGCTAACAAACTGCGCAAATTCGATCCTTATGAAATCCTTAAATAAATTTACATATGCTTATCGTACAATTGACAAAATGTTATCATTATCTAATGCACTCTAACTACTTTTAATAAATTTAAAATCATTAGAATACGATCAGTACAAGGGTTTAATTTTAAAAACTTATAACATTTCTCGCTAATTAATGATGACATGCTAAATCATGCAACAGTACATTTCAAAATTCTGAAAATTTAAAATTAAAACTAAGAAATCCCAATTCACAAATTTATTAATTATTTGATATTTTGTCACTTACTGGTCATAAAGAGGTGATGGCTACGGTTTTCATTTATTAACTTTGTTGTAATGATAACAGTTTTTCATACTTTTGAAAAACTGATGATCAAATGATAATGCTAATATTAGCTTCTTTTTTTACACGATGTTGAGGAATACGATCAGCAATAATTTTCCTGAAATGCCAAAAAACGCTTTGTTCAGTATCAAATTTTTGCATGTGTTATATAATTTGCTATTATTCCGCAATTATTGTATTACCCCATTATAGAATGATATATATTGTAATTTATCAAGAAAGTATAATTTAAAAGAAAATACAATCTCATAAATTTAGCAATGTTATTGGAAAATTAGCACTTCAATAAAGTGTCAAAGAAGTGCTTATTTGTGCTGTATTTGCTAAGTAAATAAATCTGTGAATTATTTCATTCCAACTAAATGAATAATTTATCGTATAAGATTTTATTATTTATCCTATAAACATTCTATCATTTTATTAACTATTAACTTGCAAATAGTTATTCATTTCACACATTGCTAATATACGACATTTCGAAATAGACTATTTCATAGATTAATGAATAATAACTTTGTTACAGTTTCTTTTGTTACAGTTTACATTTCTATTTGTTTTTTCTTGAATTACAACTGATTCTACGAAGATATTGGTATGAGGAGAACTAAAACATTTATTGAAAGTCTTCCTACTTTTTATTTACAGACAAAGAAAGATTCTAAATTAATCAATAATTCGTGATGATTCGACAAAACAAAAATTTTGCTTAATTTAGTGCTTAGAGGAAGGAACGAAGATGTCATCTTTAATTTTGTAATTTGTAATTATTTTGACTTTCAAATTCCATCTAAAAGTAATCGAACTTCATCCCATTCCTCTTACTGCTAATTGCATGTCATTCATTACTAAGCTCATTGTCGCAGGTAACTATTTGCCATTAATGACTTAAAAGGGATTTTAATTTCAGTATGGTTTTCTAATTTTCATTTGAAATATATTTAAATGTAACTTATATATTATAAGTCTTCAGTTAAAATTTGTGTCTCTTCCACTGAATATATTTTGCTTCTACACCCTTTTATTTAATTTTGAAGTATTTGCAATTTCTGTTGTTTTATTCTGTTAGAATTTTAGCATAGACACAAATTGATTGTCGAAGATTTTACAGAGCGTTTTTTTGTCCTTCTCCTACTACATTATACTAATACGGTCAAATTATCAAATTTACAAATGACTTTTCAAAATTAATTTATTGCGATAATCGAAATATCAAAGATTTGATCGAATTATTCTTTTCATTCAATTTCATCAAATTTTTAACATTTTGTACTTTGTAAGTAGGAAATAATAATTTTTACACCAATAATGAGGAAGCAGACCCATTTCATATGAATTAATTTTATTGAATGTTTGCTTCCTTTTTTTGCAGAAATTTTTGATTTGAAAAATTTTTTCTGAATAATATATTATTGAATAATTTATTTTATATAAAATTTCAAAATATCTAATAGTTTTATTACATAAAATTCATTTTAATCATTATTTTTTGATATACTTTTACATTTTAATAATTCTAAATTTAAGCTTTTTGAGTGAAACTGAATTAATCATAAAATTGATCGTTAATAATCACAAATTTCAATGAAAATGTTTTCATACTTCGATAGCTACTCCATTTATTTATTCAATCAAATATTTGAACATTTGAAATGTATGTCATAGAAGCAATAAATGTTCTAATTTTTAATTTGAAAAAAAACAATAAAAATTTTTGAAAACGAGTCAATAGAGAAATTTTCAAGCAATATTTACTTACTGCTTCTCCTCCTTCCAGCCTATTATTTGTGAAAGCTCAGTGAAAGAAAAGCGTTCGTTTCTGTTTACTAATCCCGGGATCAAGCACAACGCAATTGAAGTATCAACTAAAACTATTACAAACCAATGCTGGCTGGAAGGATTTTACTTAGTGAAATGAGTTTTTTTTTTTCAATCTTTTTCCTTCTCAGTTAGTTCGTTGGCCTTCCCAATATAACTAATGCTTTGAGATTATCTTTCTGAACTTCCAACAGCTAACTTTTCGTTATCTCAACATCAAAATTGAAGAGATAGTTTGGTGAGCAGATAAAAAGAAAAAAGAGATACAATTTAGATGAAAGATGGAGAGTATTTTCCGAATTCATTAAAATTAGTTTTGGAGCTTAATTACTGCTATTACCAGCTATGTAATAAATTTAACAATTTACAAATAAAGCTTCAACAATGAACTGTATTTCAAGATATTTACAATCTAAAACAAGTGAACCAACAAAACTGTAAGATTTCATCAATGCCATTCTCAAAATGAAACAATAAAACGTGAAAAAATCTGTAAGCATTATTAAGGAATGGGATTGCCATTATCTCTCTATCCTTCAAAATCAAAATATCTAAGTGAAATCAAAGCTATGCAATTTTCATTTTATTTCTTCCTTCGTTCCTTCTCTTCCAAATTCGAATACATTTCGAAATAAAAATTTTTATTTAGATATATAAAAGAAACGAGATGAGATGAAATGAAAATTGTTTCAATGGCGATCAGTTATCTCAATTGCAAAAACAAAAATAACAGCAAATCAATCATCAACAACTGATTATCACTTGAATACTGTTCCACGCATTTCTTACGAAAAATATTCTAGTGGATAACAATGTTGTTGCATATTCAATTACACGGAATAAGTTCGAAGAATGCTTTCGAAAGCAACAACAGTATACTAATATTCATGGATCTTTAATAACACTTCTTCACCTTTATCCTTCATTTTCACAATTGGTTCGCAAAATGATGTTTGTTGAAGTAATTTGAACAAATCCATTGTCGCATCATTCCTTTTAAATGTTATCTTCATCTTTAATCTCAGCAACGATCATTTTATTCCATATAATTACATCTGTCAATTTAATTTCTGGTAAGTCATCATCCATTATCACTATTAACAGGTTTGTTGAAAAGTTGAGTAAGTAATAATCTTGAGATCTAAAAGAAAAAGAAATCCATTTTAGATAGAACTATCAATATACGTCTAAGAATATTTACCAGAAAAATAATCATAGTTATCAACTGTTTTCAGCATATATACGTTTGAATCGGTGCTATTCATGCATGTCACCATTATACGAAGAGTTATTCAAGGACGGTGTCATGTCAAGGTATCACTAATATATTACATTAATGAATGAATGTATCTCTTCGGGTTACAGATATCCACAGAAATACACCCCAGTAATAAACTTAAAAGATCTGGTAATAAATTTTATCATATTTTTATACTTATGATTTTGTTAAAGAATATGAGTACTATGTTATGGTATTATACTTAACTTGTATCCTTATCATTAATTAAATTGGTTTTAAAAAAGATGCCACTTCTCGGAGCTAATAATTAATAAATATTTTATTCATTGAAGCGCCAGCCATTTATAGATATTTTTAGGTATTCTTGTAGGTATTTTAATGAACCGAGAAATTTTACGTCGCAATGCAATGAGCCAATGCAACCGTCTAACATTGGACTAGTGCCTTGCAGATCAATTTGTCTCACACTCACTCAGGATTTTATCGTCATGGGCAAGTTTTTCCAATGATTTGTGAGTCAATCAGTGGCGATATTCAAAAATCCAATCAAAATCATTTTCTGAAAATCATGATATTCTTTATACTGCATAATTGAGTTAAGTTTTTAGCCATTTTTTTTGTTTTAACAATATTAATTATATAACATTTAATATAATTTCATTTCAGGACGTAACACAGGCAAGAAATTAACGATACGTGGTTGTGCGGTCTCTATAAGTCGTCATGGCTTTTTCAATAGGACAATGGTTTTATTCGATAGGTCTGACTTTTAAAAATTTCTATTAATGAATTTGACTTTAAAAAGGAGAAAAGGAGCAATTTTCTAAACTTGAATTTTTATGAACAAAAATTCTAAATGTTGCCGTCTTTAAACATTTCGAATTTTTCACTTCTATAGCAATTTCAAAATAAATACTTGTACAGGTATGATATGTGCCGCGATGTTAAAGCATCTGATCTTTTCCGTTATGAATCAGATTCACAAACAGTTCGAGTATGCTCATGCCTCGGTGATCGCTGTAACTTCAGTGCAACTTACTATGGAACGATTCATCAATTCATCGCAGCTGCCATTATTTTTGTGTTTTTTGTCCCGAAACTGTTTTAGGATTCGTTTCTCAAGCATTTATACATCGATTTTTCTTTGAATTTCTTATACTAGAAGAGACGCATAAGAATATATGGCAGAAAACTAATAGAGAGAAAGAACTTCGAAAGGAACGCTGATAGTCACTCAAGCTAATAAAGGGAATCCTTAATATGAAGTTAAGGTAGCGCTTCATTTATTATTTGAAAATTTAGTGACTATCAGGATCTTCTCAAAAGTAGGTCTCTAAAACAGTACCGATAACCTGAATATCAACAATTATATCCATAAAAGCATATCTGGATGTCCACAAAGATCAAAAGATCCGACTTATATCCTTTTGAACTTTGCAAATGAGTTTGGTTTGGCCTACCTTTTAGACATGAAGGATTTTTACTTGAACTGCAAATTTAACATGAAAGTCGATAATGCGAAATTGTTTACACATGAAACAATTCGAAATTGAGGTACTGAATTATTTTTACTTCCAGTTATAACACAACAAACAACAATTAAAAGCAAATAAATCATCAAATAAATCACACATATTATCATAATCGAAAGAAAACCACAGTGTCTTCCCTCTATAAGATTCCGAAAAACACGGAAAGCTAAGTTGCGCAGAATATGAGATCTGTCTAATATGTGAAATAGTCTACCTTTAAACTATAACATAGAAACTAAGCATTAGCAGAACAAATGAAAACCCATCCAAAGGAAAAGTGATGCAAGTAAGTTTCATATGTTACGTCCATAATTACGACCACGTCAAATGTTGATATGATATTTATGAAGAGAGCGGCATATTTGGAATTTGCATTTTCTGAGTCGCTTAAATATCCAAATTACCAGATTTAATTCCGGCAAATTTCAATTCTGATTAAATTCACTGTATCAGACTAACCATAAACTGGTAGTTACACGAAGTGAACAAAGACAGTCATTGTTTACTGTCTATAATTTAGAAAGAAACCTTTCCACTGGGTAAATGACCGATATCGCCAAGGGATCTCACAGATACAAAACCATTCGGATATATAACTAGCCAAGTTATCGAACAATGACCAACTGACATTCGCAGCCAACCTTCAGGAGGAAACTGCAGCGCTCTTTAATGTATTAAAGTTCTCTTCATGAGATTGAAATCAATATGAATTTATTTATACGAACTTCAACAACATTACTTCCATTTTTAGATTATATTAGATCTATTAAAAAAACTGGAAGTATATCGGCTATTTATCTATTTAAAGTTGCCCAAAATACTATTACCCCAAAATACTATTAATTTTAAAAATAAATAAAAGTCCCCTCCTATATATGTGTGCTCTATAAATCTAACGTTGACAAGTAAGGAAAAGTAAATTGACAAACCTGCAAAAGAAATACCGTATCACATTTCCGTGGCATACAATCAACTCCCAGCTATCGTTCTTTTGTTTCCAGCTAGCACGATGTATGTATTTCCGGAAAGCTGCTTCAATGCGCGATCCCTCCGTTGCAAAATTCAAACAAAAAGAACGGTTAACCAAAAAATTAGCTGAATGAAATGGTCAAACAATATCTGATAGCTTTATTAACGTAGTTTACTAGTAATATTTTAAGAGCTCCCATTAGTTCTGCTACCAGTTTGAAAATCTCAATCAGACTACAAGAACACGAAACCCAAGATTAAGAAATGGATATGTTTTCAACTCTACATTGGTATCTAATCTTATTACCGTGTATTCTAATAGTATGACTTCATTTCAACTCTTTCTAAAGCAGTACAATTACTTTGTGCTTGGGACGCCAATGTTTGCTGGGTGGTTCAGGTGGGAAAGGTGCTCCTTCTTCCAATAACGGATCGCTTTTTACTGACGTCGGTGGTAGCTCATCTAATATTAGTTTAGCTGTTTCCTCCGCTCTGGTCATTGTCGACATAACCACATTATCGAACTTCAAACCACTACTGGCCAAACGTTGACCCACATACTTCGCTTGCTCTCGCCCTGTAAACATAGGCCTATAATTTAGAAAGAAAAGTAAAGGTGGTTTTTGAAACAAACATTTGAAAGTGAAAAAATGTTGCCGTTTTTCCATCTTAAAAACCTAATAGATCATATGCAATATAAGAAATAACAGGAAACTTACCTAAAGGTGTCAAGCTGAGATGATTTTTATCGTTGTGATCCGTAAAATACTGTCCATGCCGTATAAGAATAATATTTCGTTTCGAAGTTGGTGTTGCTTCATTCAACATATTTTGACGGCTAGCCGGATCAGCTTCTTCATATTTTATGGGATTCACCATGCACTTTGGTTCCCGGCTGCAAGAAAATAAGGATGCTAAGGACTATATAAATAGAACAAATCTTTCAACAAAATATATTTGTAAAAAAGTCGGAAGTCGAAAAATTCAAACAATATGATGAAAAATGAAAAAAATGGAGGTCAAAAACACAGAACTGTGGAAAGTAAGCATTTATTCCTACTCAACAAGCACAAAACATTCCACATTCATCTTTAACAGAAGCCTATTAATTAAAATTAAAAAAAAATGTACATCATTTAAAAATTTGACACTAAACTTTGAAATCCAAAAAAGTTACGTTAAAAAAATTCGAAAAATAAGAATCTTGGAAAAACCAACTTATCCCAGTTATGATCCCATTTACTTTGTGGAGAAGGATGTACACAAGGAAATGACGAGGATATACTGATTTCCGCGCATTTTGCACTATTCAGCAATAGCATGCTTCTCAATCCATCATTTTCCGAACCAAACGGCCATTTTTCCAATCGGGAGTAGTACACACCTCCGGCTATCACCGATAAAGTAACCGCTGACAACCGGGATAGCGATGGCATTTTGTTGCCTTAGGTGTCTGAAAATTGCTACTTCATCATTCATTCTTTAATCTGCAAGAAGCAAAAACACACCTCGCGGAACTCGAGAAATCTCGGTCCCAAATCTTCATTTTGAACCATTTTAAATTATCTAAAAACACAAATGAAGAATAAGTTCAAAATGCATTCTCAAATTAAGAACACAGCTCCTCGTCCATTACTAAAGAACACTTTAGCTAAAATCACTGGGCTGAGACCACTGGAAATAAAGTTATTTGGAATGAGAGTTCACATTATTCACGTATTGCAGTACAAATAGTACAACAGTCGGGAATAAATTAGAGAATGAAATCAATAAAGAGGAAATAAGCAGTTCGGGCTTGAACAAATCAGTTAATTTCCTGTTACCATAAAAAGAGAAAAACTTCTATGAATAGAAGACAAAGTGGTAGGAAAGAAGCATCTATTTTATTGGAAGGATGAAAAGAAGCATCTTAATAATAAGAGATGGTAGTAGAGATGGCAGCGATTCAGCACTCATTTTGTTAAAAGAGAATGAACAAAAAGCATTTAATGAAATATGTGAAGTAATCACTGATTTATACGAACCAATCACATAGTAACTTCAAGGGTTGAAGTGGTCGTACGTAAGTGAAACAAGCTTCTAAGAAAGCAGCAAGTGAATTCAATTGAGATACAGAGTATGAGTGGAAATCGAAATGGCTTCTGTAATAATTAAAATGAGACTTTACACATACTTCTTTGCTGGAAAATATGTAAGTAAATTTTTTTGAACCGTCACTTACATAATATTCAAACACGAAACTCAATTAATAACATTTTCACCACGCCAACATGAAACGGATGAGCTGTTATGTGTGTTGGGAAACATCGGACAGATCAGGAAATCTTGAGAGTAGCAGAGATGGGGAGGGTGTTGCAGGTTGTGCACATGTTTGGCTGGTTGTGTTTACGTGGGATTTCATGACCTGCGTTTATAACAGGTAAGAATAGAATGGTCTTCTAGTCACCTTACCTGTCCAGTCTCTCACTGATAGGTAATTTAAGAACTAATTTAGAGTTTCTAAAAAAGTGGGAACCAATAGGAAAAAAGTAAAGTAGTTGTAAGTCACTTGATATCATATCCGATTATTATGATGGAGATATTAATTCCGTAGATATAGAATATCTCTGAAAGATTCTTGTGGTTTTAACAGATATGAATTGTTTTTTTAGAAGAAAGACAATACCATGAAAAAAATTTGGATTCATTTCGATGAGAAATATGGAAACGTTCGGAAAACAGAAATAAAAACAGAAATAAAAGTTTTCCACATTTTTCTGTCGAAAGAAACAACCAAAATTTTCGAGTTATTTTGCGAAAAGAGACTGAATGAAAGGGGAATTTGATTTTTCTGCAGAGAAGACATTTATCTATTGGATTATTAATTCTTTCTCAGTTTTAAGCCAGTAGTATCTGAAATAGAGAGAACTCATGCTGGATACACTGTGTTGTTATATTGTGTTAATAACTAGACGGGGACTGAATAATACAGATATGTTATGGCTTTTATTTTTGCAACCGTTAATCATAATAAGCTAATTCATATTATCCATGCAGTCTGTCGGTCGGATGCTTCACTTCTTGCAAAAAGGTAGGAAATTATATTGTCCCTCAAACACTAATCCATTAATCATTTTAAATAATTATGAAATTTGTGATCACAAGCAAGCTCATGCATGGTCGATTACGGTGCCAATAAACCAGTTTACATCTTGTCCTTTTTGAAAGTGCATTTCTACAAAATTGTTATATTTAAAGGAACAGATACCTTTCTATTCAAGCAAAAACTACTGTGAATGCCGCCATTTGCGGGGAAGGTTTGTAACAAAGAAGGAAGCCTCCCATGAAACCAACTATTATAATCTTCCTCCGTTTGACATTTTTTGAGGTGGAAAAAACGGAACAATGTTTTCTGGCACAACCCTGTGAAGAAACTGTTATATTTTTTTGTCCACAAGATGGCAATTTTTGTACGATACACAAAAGAAGTAACAGTTTTTTTTGTTGTTGAGTTGCGGGTGCATGAAATATCCACCCGAACAATCACAGTGTCCTTGCCATGGAAAACTACATATCCATCCCATTCGTTAATGTCACAATATGAATTTTAGTGGTAGAAAACTCGTTTTAAGCATAACTTTATGGATGGCGCTACCATTTACCTCACAATACTTTATGATTGTATTAAAAAAAAAATCATTTGAAATAGTACCATTACTCTGGAATCAACCAGACCAGCGTCTCTTGGCCTCTTCATTCTCCCTTTATTTCATGTACCAATGAAAATTAACTTTTTATTTTCCATAATTCAAGGTTCATTCTAAAAAGTAACGAATTTTAAGTATGTTGTAACTTAGTAGTAAAGGCTAACATGTTATATCAAACATATTATTCAACAACTTTTAAAAATAATGCTTTATTTATAAATGCACATTTAACTATTATCATATAAATTGACTGTTTAAGCTTCTGGAGATACATGTATTCATTTTTCTTATACAAGCTAAAAAAACGGGGTTGAAGTCTTCAGAAGCTCTTTATTCTTCCTTCTTCAGAAAATCATAGTTAATTTTAGAATTTTTCAAATAAATATCCGAAAAAGCTTAGACACGAGAGATTTTAAATGAACGAATATAATTTTGGGAGAAAGTCATCATTATGTTTAGCATGTATAGAGGAGACTTGCTAGCATGAATTCACAAGTTGATGATCTGGGATTGATCAGAAGAATAATCATACTAGAAGGGCGTAATCTTGCAAGTATTTTGTTATATGTAAGAAATATTACTTTTCTATCGTTTTCACATGATATGAGCTACAAATAATATAGGATGCGAGCACTTGATTTAATTTTTCCTTCACTTCTTGAAAAATGCTGCTGAAGAAATTCATGAACTCAATTTTCCAATCCAATCTTTTTGAAATTTGCTTCCAAAAAGTTCAAAACAAAGTGTACAGATTTTTTGATCGTTTATAAACTTTTTATCTGACACTACAGGTCAATCCTATGCATTTCTTCTTCCCATTCAATCATTTGAATTATTCTTAGATTAAAGAAAAACGGCTTCTGGGTCAATCCTGACATCAGTATCCATTTGCAGAACTATAGCATAAGTTCACTGACCACTTCTCATAAAATTGATGTCACATCCATCTTTCAAATCAAACTTTAAATTGCCAACTCCGAATCCCATCATTCAGAATTTCCGGAAATCGCAAATTTAAATTCATCTTCAGGAAGCAATTTAAAGAGCAATTTCGTATACAGGACGGAGGAAGGTGTGAATGTGTGGGAACACCAAGAGGGGTTATTGGAAATTTTATTAATTTGTAGACAACAGACGCCAAGACGACTGCAATTTTCGGAACTTTTTGAGAACAA